GGGAGAGGTGGAGAGGGGGAGGGAGGGAGGAACCCAACAAAAGCAGTTCCAGATGGAAAATGTTGAATTATTCCATAAATAAGTGGAGGATCTTTGAGTTGCTAGGATGATGACATGGGTAGGGGGAGGCAGCTGCATGCTTCACATAATATTATTTAGATGGGTATGAAGATGTGAACGGTGTTAGGGCACTTATTTAATATGGTGTGCTTGAAGAAAAAACCCCACCATATTGTTTGGCTGTGAGATGCAAAATGAAGTGAGGCCTTCAGTAGTAGGCAGATCTTAAGGCTCCGAATGATCACTGTAGTTAACAGGTAGGAGCTGGAAGACCTAAACATGGAATCTGTGTCTGGTTTTCTCTCTTGCCTTCTTGGAAAGTTTATTTGGTTCTCAGATGAAATAGCTTAGGAGATACTTTATTTAGGGAAAACAGAACTGGAACGTTCTTTAAACCTTAAAAATAGCTAAGGCAAACTAGCTCTTTGGCCACAACCAGAAGGAAAGAAAGATTTGGGAGGTTATGTAGGAACCACTGTAAGATTTCATAACTTCCTCTAAAATAAGGTGTTTTCGAAGGGGTACACTACTGAATATTAAGCAAGGATTGACAGCCCTAAGATCTCTAAAGGCTTGACTCTGATTCAGGCTTGATGCAGCGTAAACAAGAGAGTTTGTTCTTGAAGTCTATGGTCAACATCAACCACCACCATCTTGTGATCCAAATGTCAGAGACCAAGATCTAAAGTGCTTGTTTCCATTACCAAAGCAAAAGTTGTATCAGGTATTTCTTGGTTCCTTTTGTTTATGATTTACAGAATTAAACACCTGGTGCTGATGTATGCCTTTTTTTTTTTTTTTTCTTTTCTCCTTACAGAGAAAGTATTTGACCCTTTTCTTCAGCATTGGTTTATTGACCACCTGGGGGACTGCACTGCTGGGTGTCCGCTTATACTGGATGGGCAACAAGCCCCCGAGTTTTTCCAATTCTGACAATCCAGCAGCTGACTCAGACAGTTTTCTCACACGTACGCTGACCTTCTTTTACCTGCCAACCAAGAACCTCTGGCTGTTGCTGTGCCCAGATACACTCAGCTTTGACTGGTCTATGGATGCTGTGCCTCTTCTGAAAGCAGTCAGCGACTGGAGGAATCTACACACTGTGGCCTTCTATGCTGGACTACTCCTCCTTGCCTACTTTAGCTTGAAGGGCTCCAGCAGTGAGAGAGAATGCAATGGGAGAACTGTAATGAATGGCAAGCAGAATGCTAATGGGCATAGCTGCCACTCAGAGATGGAGTACAAGACACTGGAGGTGAAGTCAAGTTTTGCATCAAAAGAAGAGAATGGTATAAAAAAGCATGAAATGCAGACAATGCAGCTTCCTTCAACTGAGAACATTGTCATTCTATCTCTGTCTTTGTTAATAGTGCCCTTCGTTCCTGCCACAAACCTATTTTTCTATGTCGGCTTTGTAATAGCAGAGCGTGTGCTGTATGTTCCTAGTATGGGCTTCTGCCTGCTGGTTACAGTAGGTGTCAGGGCCCTTTATGTCAAAGCCCAAAAGCGCTTTCTGAAGAACTTGGTTTTTTGTTCCACTGCTGCATTAATTGTTTTCTATGGACTCAAGACTGTTGTCAGGAATGGGGACTGGCAGAATGAGGAGATGCTGTATAGGTCAGGGATAAAAGTGAACCCTGCCAAAGGTAATTTTTGCTCTTTATGACAAAGATTTTATTTATTCTTATCTGTCTTTGAATTGTCTGATTTAATCAACTATATCTAAAGAAGATACTTCAGGAAATGTCCTTTTAAGTTGCAGTAGTATGGTCATTAGTAAAAAATGAGGAAAAGCTGGAATGTGTTTTGATTAGGTGTTACAGGTTTGGCATTAACATGGAGAAAATTAGACCCTAAGGTAAGAGGATACTTTCTTCTTCATTGATCTTAGTTCTGTATTTTGGAATTAGGGATATGTTATTAATATTACAGACCCCACCCTGCTAATTTTCCATTTGATTTGGAGTCTGGTATCTGTCACACTAATGAAGGTTTTTCAGAACAACACCGAATGTTCTGTTTTCTATGACTAGAAAATATAAGAAATAGTAAAGGAAGGCATCTGGGAGGTGCTGGTTTTTTATTTCATCTGATGCAAGTAATGTCAATACTACATAATAAAAATGAGGAAATGAGGTCATATTATTCAGCCTAGGAAATTACTGTAGTTCCTCCTGCATACGAGTACTGTAAAGAGTGATTGTCAAATAGTTATGCCTTCATGTTAATGTATAAAAGTCAGCTATTTGTAACATTGCCCAGCTACTTCTCTCAAAGGTTGTATCTATGCCATAATGAAATGTGACTACAGGTAGGGTAAACACATCCAAACAGGCAGTAAACCAGCTAGTTTGGGGATGGGTAATAATGTTTAGCTGTGGCTCTGTGGTTTCAGCATGTACTGCAGATCCAGCTGGTATCCTGAGCTGCATGCTGCCTGGCTGTACTACTCTTGGCACATGAGCAAGTTTATATGAGTACAGTCAAAATACCACCTGTGAGTGCAATGTAGGCATTGATTAAGCCTTCGTTATTCACAGTTCATCAAAAGTGAGATGGGATGACTTGATTGCTTTGCCTTTCCATGAAAGAAAGATTTGACAGCACTTGAATATATTGCACTTGAGGTTTTCCAGTTCTCTGCTCAAAAGCCCATTATATAATGTGAAGTCATCTGCTGACAGAGATCTGCTTCTTGGTTAGACTGTTGTTATGCCACATCTAAAAGCTGTGATAGTAAGAGGTAAATGCAGGTGTTACTGTGAGCTGATAGTGAAAAAGTAGATTTTGCAGATAAGATGCCTTGCAAAGCAGTATTACAGTAGCTTGTCAATCATCAGTCTGATTTTTTTAATTCTTCATATGCTTTATCACCCCAGGTAAAGTTATTAAACTTGTTCCTGCAGTAAGTGACTTTTTGTGAACTGTGAGCAAGCACATCCCATTTGTTTTACTTTTTTTCAAAACCAGAGAAGGAGGGCAAGAGATGAAGAGAAGTAACTGAACAGTGAGACAGTGCACCAGTGTGATTATATGATGCTGTGAGACTTACCTGTGTAGTGGCAATATGAAGCTTGCATTAAAACACTGGCATTCCTTGGAAAGAAGAGAGTGTATGTGCACTTGGTTAAATTAGTTGATGTATGTGCCATTTTTGTCCTTGGTGGAGATTCCTAGATATCCTAGACTGTATTAATAGTTGCCGGCTTGCTTTGAGCCAGTTTTTGTGGTTTTAAAAAAAGGAAAAAAAAAAAATTCTAGCTTTTGTTCAATAGTAGGATTGGCAGCAGTGTCATCTGGGAATTAGACTACTGGGTATTATGCTCCCAGGAGACCAGGTGAACTATTTCCATCATACACACCTCAGTATGCACAGACTTGTATATATAATTGTCTAACGTAAGCTGACATTAAGTTTTTTGTAAGATAAGGAAAAGCAAAGACACCATGTCAGTGTGGTGATATAGACATAACTGAGCTGACTGTAAATCTTCTTAAAATATCCTGTTAAACTTCTGCTGAATATTTACCAGCCCACACACATTGTAACAAGGCTGGGTATCAGAAACTCCCGGCTAAGGCAACCTGTCACCCAACTCTGTTCATTATTGTGAATACTTGCTAGATTATCCCTGGCTTTGACTATGCTAATTTTATTTTCTATTTCTCATACAATCAGGCAAGCCTGACTGGACTAGACTGGCTGCCAATCCCTCCAAAGCATTAGGAGATCAACAATTCAAACTACTCTTCAGTAATTAAATGGGGTTGACGTAAGAAAAACAATTTATTTTTGTTTGCCTCTTTTTTTTTGGTTTTATGAATGCTAGGGATAAATAGGCTACTCAGACAGCAAGACAATGGACTGCTCAGTCAAACGGTAGAGCGGAGAAGTGTTTTCCTTCTTTTTAGGCTTCTAAGAAGAGGCTGCCATTCCTTGTTTCTCTGTTTTCCTCGACACGCAGTAGTTTCTCTCAGGAGTATTTCCTTATTTCTGATTATTTTTGAGTGGCAGGATCATTTTCCCTGATTGTTCTGCTTTCCCTCTGTTCTCCTGAAAAGAGCTTCTCCTGTCCTAGGCTAAAAAGCAGAGGGATCCCTTCAAAAACGCCCCGTGTGAGAACCGGTAAAGAAGTAGAAATCCACAAAGACCGGTTTTGCTGAAGGAAGGAGCCGATCTGTTTTGTTCCAGACCCATCTGTATTCTGGCCTAGCAGGGTGAAAGCCGCTCTGCGGCTGGATGCTGTGCGACAACACTGAGCTGATGTGCTGTACTAATCAGGTCGTTTGAGAGGCAAGCTATTAGCACAGGTGCATTGGTGTACTAATGCGACTGAACTGCGTCGGAATTGGAGCTGTCTCACATGGTGATGGTTTATAATCAGGCCCTCTGCGCTGTAGCACACGTAAGGATATAATCTCCTCAGCTGCTGTGGGACTTTCAGACAAAGTTGTTCAGCAGCTTCTCCTCCATGAAGAAATGGGCGATCAGCACCTTGCCAGTGATTTGTTCTGGCCCCCTCACGGTCACCTCGCAGGCAGAGAAATGGCGTTCTGCCTCAGGTGAGAGAGGCTCTGTTTCCATGCAGGCAGGCACACCCTTTCTGCAGTCTACATTTCTCCAGGCTGTTCTTGTCACTCACTGACAACATGAAAAAAACCCTCAAAAGCACAGTGCAAGGCTCATCTCTCAACACAAACCCCAAAATATTCCACGGGATGGAAGGTGGTGATGCTGCCACAGACCCACTGTGCAGCTGCTGGCCCTTGGCTGATGGAGCCGTAATGCGGACTGGGGACACCTTAGCTGCATCTGTTACTCAGCTTGTTCATCTGCTGGTTATGACTAGGGTTTCAAATATCTTTAAAGTGATCTGAGGCTCGCCTCGTTGCACTTGAGGGAAACATAGCCAAGATTGATGAGTGTCGTTTATGGATCCTGAAGTGGCTGGGTACATGTCTTGATGCTAGGGAGGGGAAGTCACAAGTGTTTCTCTGTGCTGCCTTCAACTTAATGAGCAGCCCAACTGACACAAAGCAGCTCACATTAATTTAATTCTCTTTTATAGTGAAGGAAGCTTCCCAAAATGTAAAAACAAACAAAAAGTTAAAAATGGGTGGTAGCTGTCACGTCTTTGTCAATTAGACTGAGAGACATTCTGTGATGATGATTACCTTGTGTTTAATATAAAATTATAGTGGCACACAAAATAATTGTTGTCATTATGTCTTGCTACCTCTAGTTTTCTCTGTAGTACTGAAAGTAGGTTTCAAAAAGCATAATCTTTTTCCTTCAGGCTATTTTGTACCTTGCAGTCCACTTCATAATGATCTTGGACATTGAGATATATTTGCTGTACTGTTATAGACACTGATTAAAGAAGTAGAGAATAACAGGGAGAGGCTGAAGGCTGTTAGACTGCTGCAGAGGTATTAGTTTCTTGGTCATATTTAGTGATGATATGTTAGTCTCCTGGTGTTTGCCATGACATCTGCAAGTAAGCTTTGAAGATTTTTTCCTGGAACTAGTTAACCTGCTAAACCAAGTGGGTGCTTAACTTTAACCATACATTCAATTCCTGGTAAATTCATATATGTCTACTCTTTTTGCAATGGAACCTACAGCAGGAAACAGATACCGGACTGCTTCCAAAAGCAGTATTACCACATTATTGTGGTGCTATACCAGGTCTGAAAAACCCTGTCTTGCATGGGACACTGATTTAGATTGGCATTACAGCGTTTGTCTTCAGAACCAGTTCTGCATGTTGCTCAAATGATTGTCCTTGTTCCATCATGTATTAGTGTTAATGAATTGTCATACGTTTAAACCTTGGGCAGGTCAGTGGGACCTCTATGTGGAAGAACTATGTGCTTCAGTCCTTTCCTGAATCAGTTCTGCAGGAAAAAAAAAAAAATTACTTAGATACCTGTTACATGAAAACAAAGTCGGGGTGAGAGTGTTGAGTTTCTTGGTTCAAATAAATTCTACTGTTGGCATCAGGTTGCTTAGGCGATTGACATGACTAAAAAAAAATTTCTTTCTGGCAAAATCATTCAGATCATCTGTGGTTTAAAATCAGTATTTCCTTTTATAATGTACTTCAAGTTAAAAATCCTGTTCTTAGCATCTTGCTTCTTATGCCGATTACCCTGTTCTCACTAGGCAGCAATAAGACCAAGACATGGAGTTGACAGAGAAGAACATAGAAGTTGTTCCATATGAATAAGAGTTGCTTGCCTTCTATCTTTCTGCTCTTCCTCATACTCACAGTTCTTATGAGTGTGAATCATTCAGTTTTGCTTAATGTTTTCAGAAGATATTCCAATACTGAAATAGTCTCTTAGATGACAATTTTCTTTTTCCCTGTCCTGCTTTTTTGCACTTTTTTTTTTTTCCCTTCCTTTGCAGTAGGGCTGTGAGACCTTCATGCCTCATTTTGCTATATTTGATGCCTCATTTTGCTATATTTGTGCCATGGAAGATTTAAAGAACTTCCAATGCTTTTTGTGGCATCCTTGGCATAGTATTCAGCCTTGATCAGTTTTACTTTCTGAACATCATGGATATTTACTTTTTTTTTTTTTTTTACTCCTTTCCCTCCCTTTTACAACCTGTTTAGTATAGGATTGGTAAGGACTGCTT